ACTACTACTACTACTACTACTACTACTACCTGAATTACTTGAAATTAAGCTTTTGACCGTGGTCAAAGAATATCAGGGCGTGTGCGAAACCTTAAAACAAGCCGGATCTCTTTCCTAGCTTAGGTTCAAGTTAAGTAGGAGAATTTAATCGCGGATTGGCTCCTTCAAGGCCACTAGAATGAGAAAATGAGGCCTCTGCCCAACTCCGATTGGACACAAACTACACACGGCATACAAGACGTTAGTTCGAACTGCTGCAAAGTAAATAACCGTAGTCTTAATTGGCGTGCCTTACTAATAAAAACCCGCTCAAATCATAAGAAATACAAAAATTCGAAATTCAGAGCAGTCCAGTTTGATTAATTCAACGTGTAGAGATTTAACTATCGGGAAAAAATCAATATTACAAGATGTGACCTGCAAAAGTTCGTTTTACTTTCGACACTGCACAGGGACAAAAGGTAACCTTCACAATCCTTTCACGAGGAGTTTTTATTGTTAATTGCTTACTTTTGAAATTTTGACATCAAACACTTTTGTGAAGGCAATTTAGAGCATTTTCGAGGATAAATAATTCTCAGACTGGAAAAAGAAAAAAAATAAAAGGACTGGAGAAAATGTTTTTTAAGATTTCTTGCTGGGCCTTTGCAAATGAAGGTAAATGTTCAAAGTGACCCGTAATTCGCAATTTCTAGCAAAAACCACGTACTAATAAAATTCAAAAATACTTTAACTTTTGAGCAATTTATAGCAGGGTAACGATTTACTGACCCGTGCGATCCTTGTCAATTGTAAAGAAGGCTTCTTTCAATGCGTCCGCCATGATTCCAAAAAACGAAACTTATTGGCAATGAAACCCTTGCACCGAAGACTAGTCGCAGCCTAACCAAACTGCTATCACAACGTCGCACGTGCGGCGTTAACAATGTAGCCAAGACGGGACCGAATTTGCGCAGCCATTGGCTCGTTTTTCACCAATCAGCTGGCGCCTACGCGTGTCTGACCCTCACATCGACTGTAGGCATGCTCGGCGTGGGCGGCCTGTAAGCGTCCAACCACGCCCTAACAGTGGAAGATTATTCTTGTCGGCTAGCTTTGAAATGTAGCTAATATACCAACCAGAGATTCATTCGTTTCTTGTCCACTTCAGCTGGCCGTTTCTAG